CCTCCGAGACAAATTGAAGGGCTGGATACTGGTTAAGGAAGTCTTCCACCAAGACTCCTGTCTCCATTAGTTCTTGGCGCTTGTACGGAAAAGTAATGTCCATCAGCTCCTTATAAGAGCTTGGCTCTTATTCGATGTTTTCTGCATCTCCTTTTTAAGAAGTTTTAATATGTTTCTTTGCATGTCTCCTCAGTTTCCGCCCTCCGCAGCAGATCTGGTCACCCTGTACTTTCCGTCCTCTTTATTTGGGGCCCCTTGGGATCGTCACACGTTGCAGCCCTTTGTGGATCATGTTTAGTCTTTCTCAAGTTCTTGAAGCCCTATGTTTTTATCGCTGTCTGCCATGATCCCTGAGGTCAAAAACAATATTGGTTTACATAAATAAGGATGTGGTATATATTTCGTATGTTTTGAAACAAGCACATTACTTTTCAGGATGGTAATTTTTCTATATTCTACATGTTAGGCCTTAATAGGCTCGGAAACATTTTATAAACTCAACATTTTAGTTAACAAATCGTAATTTTGGTCACCAAATACTTCATTTTTTAGTCACAATTGGCGACCAGTGAGATGTAATTCGAGCGCCTCCTTTAATAACTGCACTTTTAAATTATTGATTAAAGGAAGTTTTATATTTAAAAGTAGAACCACAATAGGGGTGTAGATTTGCATGTACAAGTATGTGCACCTGACTATGCTTTTGGGTTATTTCATAACAATTATACACAACACTTGTCAAGTCCTTATTGATACTTACAATGCTGGTTCCTATCTGTGTCTGCCAAGAAAGGAAACTTCTTTATTACCATACAGGCAACATATTCCCTTTCCATCTTCGAAGGATTTTGGTATATACCCGTTATCGCCGAACATACATCCCTTGTAAATTCATTTCGTATGCTTCCAGGCAGATTTCCTGCTTTCAGTGCCTGAGTGACTGATGGAGAATACTGGAAAGAATAAAAACAAAGAACAAAATAAGAACTACTTCAAGAACTACACATACATGAACACAGATATCACAACAGATACTACTCGCAGAATACTTTGGCTGGAATATACTACTGTAATATACTACTCGATGCACACTGCTTAATTTAATTAATGCATTTAAAAATAACTACAATTCACACTTACAGAGCCTGGTAGTTGGAATTCATTCAACCAGTTTTGCTTGAAACCGAATTTTCACGACTTGAAACGAATTTTCACGACTTGAAAAGGGAATTGGAGATGATGTGGGTTTGTCAGGTGTGAAGCAGCTAAAGGTGATGCAAGGGCAGATGAGGGTGTTGATGACGAAGCACAAGTTGACAATGACGATGACGATGATCATCACAATGCACATGAGGTTTCCTACAATAGAAGAGAAATGGAGTTTTGTTTGCATGCACATAATACAAAATTATACTATTAGCAATATTTATTATCTCGTTATGTTTAGAAAAACGTCAATGTTTAGCTGAGTTATTTGGGTCTCACAACATGTCAAATTATTTATGATCACAAAAATTCCTAAAAATTTTAACTTTTTGTAAATGCAGCAAACAGTTCTGATAACTCATTAAAGTGGATTTTTTTGTAATAATCACTTACTACATTTACAAGATAAGGAATAAATAAGTATTGATTTTACAAATAATTGTTACCTCTAAAGTAATAGCTAGAGCTTGTATTATATGCTTCTATCCTTTCGAATCCTCACGATTTGACCTCCCTTGATCCGCAGGCTTTCAATAATTCATCAACTTGTGTCGATAATGATTTCCATTGTATCCAGCTTAAGGCAAGGAATTAATATGTTAAAATTTTGTTATGAAAACTGAAATATGATTTTCTGTTTCAGAAATATATTTTTTTAGTATACTGCAAAATATTGAGTTCCGTAAGGAGCAAATCATTTAATTTTTTTACGTGTATTTGAAAAGGAATATTTTGCAAGCTGGGTTTGATGACTTATTAAATACATTACTTAGTGAATTTCAGTGAAAAGTAAGAATATCACAGCAGGAACTATCAGAGCCAATAAATTCAATAGTTGGGCTACCTGTGATCTCTCGGGCGTTATCACGATTGTGGAATGTACTAAGAAAGTTAAGCCAACTACGTGTCCCATTGCATGCCAGTTTCGTGATTATCCTAACCTACATCCTAACTTTGATCACAACACGCCACTGCATCAAGGCAGAACCTAACCAAAGGTTTTAACCTCAGCCTACATGCACTAAAATTCGCCTTTGAATATATTTGTGATCTATTCGGCACGTTGCGTGGCAATCCCGAAGTTAATGCTCGTGTTAGCGGCTGGACCGGTCGAGGAGCCACAGCTTATATATATAAACATATTGGACATATTTCTTCAAATTTTGACAGATTTAAAAGCACAGTGTACGTCCCTACAACAGTATTAGTATTATATTATTATCTGTACTATAATCGCTGCTCGATATTTGATGGAAAAATCATATAAATCTATAGCTACACGCTGTACAGTGCAGGGACGAGACACTAAAAATTTCGCGACCAGAGTATGAAAACAGTAATAATATTTTGAACTTTGAGGTCATCATATATCAAAATATTGACTATATTTCTACTTTATAACATAGTTATAATAGATGAACAGGTTGCTACTATAAATACTAGGGTTCTGGACAGAGTTAGGCTAGATTTCCATCCTGAATTCTTAGATAAATCCATATATCTGTGCTGTTATAGATTCATTGAAATATAACGGGAGCTGTCAGTGGTCCGCTAGCATGAACAAAATTGATATTTACTGAGTTTTCAGATAAGGATTTCTCAATGTGCAGTGCTACATAGATTTTTTACATATATTTATACACGTATATATGTAGCTCATAATTTGGGGTAGACCAAATAATTCTGTCCCGAGATAACGTTTTATATTTTGGATGCGTTATACTGGACACTATATAACGCATCCAAAATATAAAAACGTTATGTTGGACCAGAATTTCGGTCTAAATTTGGGGAGTAGAACTGTGTAAACATATTTTATTACGTCCAGAGTAATTTAGGCTCATAGGCGCTATGTCCCCAGGGTACTGCTGGAAGTACCTGGGTACGGTCCGGTATACCGGAACGTACCCTGGTAACTATCTAGCTGATATGGTTAGGGTTAGGGTTAGGGTTAGAGTTAGGGTTGGGGTTAGGGTTAGGGAGTAAGGCGTAGGCGACTCCCTAGATCGTTTAGTGGAGTAGGCGAGGTAGGCGTCCGCATATTATAGGGGTGTATTGCGACCAAAACCGTATTGCAATATATTGCAATACGACAAAACCGTATTGGCAATATTTCCAATACGTATGGGAAGTGTATACCATGCATGATATAGTAACAATTTGATGGTTTTAATATCATCATATATTGTTTTATTGACATGATTTAATTTCTCATGTTTTTCTTGAGAAACAGAAGCACGGCAATGTTTTCCGCTGACAGTGCAGCCTCTGTGCCGTAACAATATCACCCGCTGTACTGAATACCCTTCGGAAGGCACTGACGTAGCTGGAATACACAAATACCCTGCTGCATAATTGGCTTTATACCTGGATACTGAAACTGAAACTGAACTGAAACATGGGTGCTCGCTTCAGCTGGTATGCGCGCGCGGGGCACTCAGGTGAGCATAGCTATATATATAGACTCTCCTTGTTGCCGTGCTCTCCTGCCTCGCGCACCAACCGTCAGCCCTACGC